GACATCTCTGTCTAATGGTGGAGAAAACTATGTTAATCATTCAGATCATTTCAGTAATTGTTATCATTATTAGCTCACCGGGCCCGAAGGACCAACATGAGCTTATGCCATACTGTGGCGTCCGTCGTTCGTCCGTAGGCCAACAATTTCTTTAAACGACTTCTTCTTAACCATTGATTGGAATTAACTAAATTTGACTAGAAGCATCCCTAGGTGGTGGGGATTAAAAATTGTACAAATGGTGGGGCTGACCCCCAAGGGGGTTGAGGGGCGGGGCTAAAAGCGGGCACTTTGGCTATATTGCTATAAGCGACTTCTCTGGAACAAAGAGATGTATATCAACCATATTTGACTGAAAGTATCCCTAGGTAGTGGAGATTCAAAATTGTACAAATGTTGGGGCTGAGGGGCGGGGCCAAAAGTGGGCAATTTGGCTATATTGCTACAAACAACTTCTTCTGTAGAACTATGCACTTGATATTGATCATATTTGATCAAAAGCAATCATTGGAAGCAGGGATTCAAAATTGTACAAATGTTGGGGCTGACCCCGCAGGGGGCTGAGGGGTAGGGCCAAAAATGGGCAATTTGGCTATATTGCTATAAACGACTTCTGTAGAATTTTGCCATGGATATCGATCATATTTGGTCAGAAGCATTCATGGGAGGCAGGGATACAAATGATGGGGCCCCATCCCCCGTGCTAAGGGGTGGGGCCAAAAAAAGTTTATTACTTGGAAAGGGTTGAGATTCCCACGGTATAACCATATATATACAATTGTGGAGTATAAAGAGAAGAATGCACATTTGTTCCCAGGATGGCCTAGGGTCTGGCCCCACCCTTTGAGACATTGTCCCTGGGTCATAACTTTGAAACGGTTGAGATCCCCACCCCAGAACTATATACACAAATGCTTGGCATAAGGAGACAAAAAGTAGTCGTGGTATTAGAATAGACCCTGGGGTCTGACTGAACCCCTAGGGACCTAGTTTCTTAAGTCACAGCTTGGAAAACAGTTGAGATCCCCACCCTATAACTAAATAGATGAATTCACATATGCTTTCAGGATGGCCTTGGGGTCTGCCCCACCCTTGGAGACCTAACCCCTGGGTTATAACTTCGAAATGGTTAAGATCCCCACCCCAAAACTATATATGCAATTGATGGGCATAAAGAGATGAATGCAGTCATGATATTAGAATTGACCCCGGGGTCTGTCCCACCCTCGCAGACTAACCTCTGGGTCATAACTTTGAAACAGTTGAGATCCCCACTCCAAGACTATAAATACAAATGCTTGACAAAAAGAGACGAATGCAGTCATGCTATTAGAATTTCCTCTGGGGTCTGGCCACAACCCTAGGGATCTAGTTTCTGAGTCACAGCTTGGAAACAGTTGAGATCCCCACTCCATAACCATACATTAAATTGCTGGACATGAAAAATCTAATACAGACACACTACAAGGATTGACCTTGGGGTCTGGCATATTCCCTTGGATCTCATTTGGAGAATATTTTGCCATGAGTGCTTAGATATCCAGGTGAGCGATACAGGCCCTTAAGGCCTCTTGTTCAATCTGAAAACATTTAGAATTGTACATTTGTAATACATTACAAAGCCATTAAAGTGTAATACATTACAAAGCCATTAAAGTGTAATACATTACAAAGCCATTAATGTTGGGTTATTTTAAATGAAATTTGTAGTCGGATGCGGAGTGTATCAAAAAGGAGATCGTGGCCAAAGGACAGGAAAAGGACAGACAGAATTTGGAGGATAATCTCATTGTTGAGGTGAGGAAGTCTGGTATCTGAAATAATGCAAATATTTGTATATCACATTTAAAATACATAAAAGTAGCCATGATTTCATGAATACTATCAACAGTTGAAATATTTATAGTTTAGAGCGCTATGTTACAACAGAGCATGTCAATAATGTAAGCTATTAACATGAACTAACTACTTACATGTATTGAGAAAAAATATGCAATATACTTAAATACTTCTATTATACACACTTAAGTGGCTATACAGTGTAATAAAACCACCATATATACAGGCTGCTGTACAATGTAATACAACCACCATATACACAGGCTGCTTTACATTGTAATAAAACCACCATATACACAGGCTGGTATACAGTGTAGTAAAACCACCATATACACAGGCTGCTATACAGTGTAATAAAACCAAAATATACACAGGCTGTTACACAGTGTAATAAAACCATTATATACACAGGCTGCTATACAGTGTAATAAAACCACCATATACACAGGCTGTTATACAGTGTAATAAAACCACCATATACAAAGGCTGTTATACAGTGTAATAAAACCACCATATACACTGGCTGCTCTACAAGTGTAATAAAACCACCATATACACAGGCTGCTATACAGTGTAATAAAACCAACATATACACAGGCTGTTACACAGTGTAATAAAACCATTATATACACAGGCTGCTATACAGTGTAATAAAACCAACATATACACTGGCTGTTACACAGTGTAATAAAACCATTATATACACAGGCTGCTATACAGGGGAATAAAACCAACATATACACAGGCTGCTCTACAGTGTCATAAAACCACCATATACACAGGCTGCTATACAGTGTAATAAAACCACCATATACACAGGCTGCTATACAGTTTGATAAAACCACCATATACACAGGCTGCTATACAGTGTAATAAAACCACCATATGCACCAGCTGCTATACAGTGTAATAAAACCACCATATACACAGGCTGCTGTACAATGTAATAAAAGCAACATATACACAGGCTACTATACAGTGTAATAAAACCATTTATTCTCAGTCTGTTATGTAGTATAAAACATCATCACATGTGTTTTTGATCTGTAAAATGTATTATAACGTGATCCTTCTGATGCAGATAATAAGCATGGATTACGGTATGAAGGATTCCAATCCCATAGACCATGTTCGTTTTTATGACAAGAGGAATCCTGAAAAACCCATGGTTATACGAAAGGAAGAGGTATCCCGTATGACTCCTAAGGAATTCACGGATCAAAATGTCTACCTTTTCACCAGGAGGAATGATAAAGAATTTTATCAGACGGCTATGGAGACTTTCAAGCAATGGTGCGGGGACAAACAATTCTCTCAACCTCGGGTAAGATTGCTTTAGGTCTTTTTCATCTAATATTTCACCAACAGTGTTCAAGTTTCTTGTGCAGTTTGTTACTACCAAGTCTTAGACAATTATGTACCTGGGTTGGTTACTGCCATGTCTTAA